TTCCAGAAAAAAACAACTTTTTTTCAGGAAATGTTCACATTTCTAAATTTTTTCTCAATATATATGAATATTACGATTAGTAATTACTAGCACAAACAATCACCCGTAGTTTCTGCTAGTCCTGATAATGTCTGAAAAACGTGATTTGGAAATCTTAAACATACTTATTCTGATATAAAACGTCAAATGTATATTTTTTCTCATCCATACAACACTAAAAAAAACTCCACCCCTTACTCTCAGTTACTCAAACTACACAAATTTACAGAGAATTTGATGGTTTAAATACCAAAACACAAAAACGAGTAACTTTGTTTTCACTAGAAAAGACTACCCCAAATCTTTAGCATTCAATGCTGCTTCAAAAGCAGTTAATAAACTTTATAAACCATCCTTTTGATGGAGAGGTTAACATTCCTCCAGTTCAGACATATAATACTATCATCATAACAGCCAACAACGTAATCATGGTGATCTACAAAATACTCACAAAAGATCCTACAACCAACATGATACTTAATGATCAATCCTTAATAACCTACAGACATGACACTAATATTCGCAACCTTATGGTACATAGTGCTTTAACACCTAATAACCATACTCAGAACACACTTGACGCCCAACGTTGTGAATGACACAGATACGTCACTTCTGAATATGTAAGTAATACTACCTAAATACGAGGATCTAAATCCAATTACAGCTAATATAATCCTTCAGTTGTACATCCTACTGTCTTGTGTTTTGTATAATATGAAAATGTTTTGAACAGCTGTTTATAGAACTAGCGTCTGCTTAGGGATAGAACCTGTGAACATCTGAGTGACATTAGAAGACAAAACGAAGACCACGTCAGCAGCCCAAAACACGACAGTATTTCTTTGTAATGGGGATCAACTACGCATCTTCGAATATCATCAAAAGAGAACATCGTGAAAACAGACTAGTTCATAAATTAGGCACTTTTCACGCAAAAGATTTAAATGAACGCATCTCCTTCCTGGTATATCTTACCATTTTATATAAATATTTATTTTATTTACATTTTATTTGTATTTATTTCATTCTATCTTAATTTAACTAATATATTCTCATTCATTTGGAAAGTTTCAACATTCAATAGTCTACTGTTAGTTCGAAGGAAGTGAAGTAACCCGATACGTTAACTATACTAGTCAAGTAGTCGTGCAATTTGACAATTTTTTTGAGCGGCAAATTGTATACTCAGCTCAGCCCTTGGTGAAAGCCCGACAGATCCAGTGAAAGTCTACAAGCAAAAGTGAACTCTGCGTCCACAACGGGCTTTCTGTTTTAATCTCTTGTAATGCACATTAAACATCTTACCTTAAAAGTTTTTCAGGTTATTTTTAGCAGACTTTACTCCTCTGTCTTCTTTCTCTTGAAAACGCAGAAAACACCCACAAGTTCGCTAAAAATGAGCAAAATCTTTGCGAAGATTTTTATTAGTGTTCGTTCTCAAAAAATAATTTTATAAGACAGGGAAAGTGGATTAGAAGTGATGAAGTGTAGCAGTCGAGTCGAGAAACTTGACAGAAATTGCAAAGCAGTTGTGTCACTTCTTGCTTAAAGCAGCCCATTTCACAGTGGGGATGTGATCAAGATTTCTACTGTTTGAACTTGGCACATTTAATGCATTAAATTTAATAATAATCTTGAATTTTGCTTCTACGGAAAATTATATTCAACATCAAAAAGTAAAAAATATCATAAAATATACTTCTCTAATTCAGACTTAAGCGATTATTCTAACCTTAGTATAAACCGGAAGCTAAATGGTGTGAATCAGAAAAAAGCGGGAACGTTAACAGCAGCAGCATCTTTATTCTCCGCATATAAAACAAGAACCTACAGCATACACCATAACCACAGAAACAAATACACAATACACGTAAATAAATCAGACACAAAAGTCAACTACAAAAACACCACTGCTACTGACACCAATAACACAACCCATAACTTCGTCTACCTAGCCCACACCCTCATTCACCTATGCAGCAGTAGTTCGCCCACAACCACACAGTAAACAAATATCTCATCCAAATAAACAAACGCAGCCACAATTGAAAAGAATCACTGAACAGCAATATCATATAAACGCAAACCAAACAAATGCTCAACCAACAAATACCCCGCAACCAGATATACCAAAAACACCAGTAACATTACACACAAATGCAGAAAACAACCCTTATATCACTTGTCAGTAAAAATAGAAAACATAAAGGAGAGAGGAAGAGGTCTAGATTGCACCTGACTCTTTCAGGTCGCGAACAACAATACGACCAAACCCCGACAAAGACAGCAGATCCTAATTGTAGCCAGATATTTTATTATTTTATATCTTGGTTATCATGGAACACAAGCCAAAATACTGAAAATTTTAATTACAATCTTTGACTTGTAGAATTTTGTTGTGGTGTGAGTTTTGTTCAAACTCAACTATTTACAATAGATACTGCAGTAACGATATAGTGGTTAGTCTATAAAATATTTGTATTTTTTTTTGTATGAGAAAGTTTAATATGAATTTGTTTTCTTTTTTCTGTCTGTTTTTTGGACTACTAAGTTAGCATACCAAGTTTGGTCTGGGTCAATCAACTGGTGTCCTGCAGGTTGTTTTAGCCGCACGACACACTACCGCGTGTCTTTCTCATGAGATTTTTATTATAATTCATATTTATGAGATCAAAAGTGTCACATTGTCACCGGGAAAAAAAAAGATAAATACAACGAAGTCATCTGAGGGAAAAAAAAGAAATAAACAGGTTGATGTAGAAATAGTGCAATAACTTCCGAAATAATCTACTCATCGTTGGTTCAGCAATAAGTCTGTGGGTTTATAACCCTAAAAATGGGGTTTCGATAGATAGCCCAGATAGCCCACTGAGTAGATTTCTGCTTAACAACAAACTAAGAAACCTACCTATATATCTGCCCTAAAAATTATAATTACATCACTTATTTCGACAAGAAAATAACCCAGTCGCACGGAGTAAAATTTAGCATATTAACTCAGACTGACGACACCAGGCGGTGTGAAACATAAAGGTAGGATGGAGCAAATTTTAATATTACGTTCTCCTTTCAACTTTAGTATCCACTATAAAAGATTAAATAACTCCTTTCAATATCTTACTCCAAACAACGATTTTTTTTCTGTAGAAACATTAATGGTTTCTGTCCCTTTATCTCTCATTACGAACAAAACACGTTTTGTAATATAGTATTATACTATGAGTCTTTTATGTCTGTCACTTAAATCTTCTTTTTTTCCATTGGAAAATATCACAAATCTATAAAACCTGCACCACGCAATTCTCAATAGTTTTAATAAAGAGAAAATTAAATCATTTTGTATTAACTTTACCCCATAAATTAAGTTTTGTTTTTTAACAATAGACGGCAGGACAGTCGAACGACGCTACGTATTTTAGTAAGTTGTGTTCGTGATGAAACTAAAGCTCGGTTATGAATACCTGAAATGTAATAAATTAATTAATCATAATTAGTTTCTTGAACATTAGGTAACACATACTTAAGAAAAACAATATATACATACTTTTTCTACACTGCGTAAATCATCTTACTACTTTAAATATATCTACCTCATAACCCACTGTATTAATAGTTTTAAACATTGAATGAGTGTACTGAGTTGAAACGTAACAGTTTTATATTCCTATTTTCCAGAGCTTTTTGCCATTTGTGTACCTCAAAAACTTACCCAGAAAATATGTTAGTTTCTTTGAAAAAGATTTGTTTTTGAATTTCGCGCAAAGCTACACGAGGGCTATCTGCGCTAGCCGTCCCTAATTTAGCAGTGTAAGACTAGAGGGAAGGCAGCTAGTCATCACCACCCACCGCCAACTCTTAGGCTACTCTTTTACCAACGAATAGTGGGATTGACCGTCACATTATAATGCCCCCACAGCTGAAAGGGCGAGCATGTTTGGTGTGACGGGGATTCGAACCCACGACCCTCAGATTGCGAGTCGCGCGCTTTATCCACCCGGCCATGCCTTTGAAAAAGAACAATTGTCTTCATGTATGTCTATGACATCTACATATGGAACTTCGAGGATTTTTTGGGGTTGTGGGGGATAAATACCATATTTGCTGATAAAAAATCGAAAACTGATGTAGAACCTTTCAGAAAGAAATTGTTTCTTATTTGTTTATACTTTTCTCAAGATTTCACGCTGGGACATCCTAGCGGTCTTGGATGTAACCGTTAATAATAATGTTGCAAGCGGTCGAATTCTTTTTTTTATTGCATAGACAAGAAAATGTCGGCGGGAAATGAAGACGAATAGACTTGTGGATTTCATAGAAATGTTTTACTTCAGATTATTATTTTTGTAATATTTAGGTAAAACAAAGAAAATACTATAAATACTGAATTGTTCTATTCCTTATTGAAAACCTTAAAATGAGATATTTCATCTCTGAGCTGTATAATAATCCGAAATTAAACATTTCACTTTATAAAATCTGGTGATAAAAATGGATATATAAGTAAATAAAGTATTTGCTTCTACATCACTAGATAGCAGCACTTTAGTTATGTATATATCTTGCCTGTGCTGCTCTTTGCCTGGCACTAATGAATTTTTAGCACCTGAAATAAAGAATCCCATTTCCATGTTTTGTGTGGATGTGAAAGTAAGGTGTATAATCTCCATACATATTTCTTGTTACAAAAATAAGATCCACTTTTTTTTCTTCCAGCTTATCTAGGAATATTTTTCAAAAACAATAGAAGCGACATGAATGTAACTTCGGATCTGTTTTAGAGTGTATTATTTAGAATTTAACAGTTACATTGGTGAAGTATGCCTATATGTTACAGTATTTTTAAAAATAGCGATGAGTAAATATGTTCATGATGTGGTAGCTAAATTTCATACCGACACGGAAATAAACTCGTGTATCAAAAAGTTCAATAGCAAGTGAATTAGGTGCACCTTTTGAACATGAAATACCATAACAAGAGTATATGTGATGGTCCAGCATATGACAAGAGTACTATTGATATTCTATCACAGGATAAGAGTATTTGTGTATATGTGATGGTCCAGCACATGACAAGAGTACTGTTGATGTTCTACCACATGACAAGAGTACTGTTGATCGTCCATCACATGACAAGAGTACTGTTGATGTTCCATTATATGACAAGAGTACTGTTGATGTTTAATCATATGACAAGAGTACTGTTGATGTTCCATTATATGACAAGAGTACTGTTGATGTTCCATTATATGACAAGAGTACTGTTGATGTTTAATCATATGACAAGAGTACTGTTGATGTTCCATTATATGACAAGAGTACTGTTGATGTTTAATCATATGACAAGAGTACTGTTGATGTTCCATTATATGACAAGAGTACTGTTGATGTTTAATCACATGACAAGGGTACTGTTGATGTTCCATCACATGACAAGAGTACTGTTGATCTTCCATCACATGACAAG